GGGGGGGGGCCCGGGGGTCCCCCCCAGCCGTGGTGCTCCCAGCCGCTGACTCGCTGCTTTGTAACCCGTCCCTTCTGATTTCACCACCTTCATAGATGAATGTAAATTGTGAAAGTGGAGCTGGCTGTTTGCAGGCTGAAAAGAAAGGACTGGCTTTGTTTTCTTTAGGCGTGAGTGTTTCCAGGGTGACATCCCCCCATGGGGGTCCCGTGGGGGCTGGGGTCCCCCTGTGCGACAGCAGACAACTGACTCGCTGCTTTGTAACCCGTCCCTTCTGATTTCACCACCTTCATAGATGAATGTAAATTGTGAAAGTGGAGCTGGCTGTTTGCAGGCTGAAAAGAAAGGACTGGCTTTGTTTTCTTTAGGCGTGAGTGTTTCCAGGGTGACATCCCCCCATGGGGGTCCCGTGGGGGCTGGGGTCCCCCTGTGCGACAGCAGACAACTGTATTTCTCAGCCAGGCTAATGGCAGGGGACGACACACCACTTCTGAGGGGTTTCAAGCAGGCATCACACCCGCATGGTGCCGACCTGCGGGCTGCCCACCCTGCTGCTGACAGGTTAGTTAACGTCAGAGGTTCGTTTCTGCACCAGCACAACCTCAAGCGTTAGGTCCCCCGCCAGGAAAATCTGCCACGGGGGAGTGCACCACAAAAAGAGGTGGCAACCTTCCTCCCCCAGCCCCGGAGGCTCATGAAGCCTGAACCAGGTGGTGCTGGCTGGAGAGATGGCTTGCCCAGGCGGCTCGCAAATGCAGGCATCAAGTATATTGTCTTGTCATGTGCCTTTCTGCAGCGAAAGCTAACGCTGCTTCCCGCAGGAGTGCGTGCCCAAGTGCTGAGGCCAGGGCAGCAAATGCAATCCCCCTGCAAGGATGTCCCTTGGTGTCACCCCCATCCCGCTGATCCTGCTGCTTCCTGTGCTTAGGGAGAATGAGGGCTGCAGTTGTCTAAGGTCCCACTTTGGACGTTAAATTTTTTGTTCATATCCCCTTGAAGAAATTATATCGACAATTCTCTCCCTCTTGCAAGATGAGAAATGTTTTCTTATTAATTTGGAGCTGTCGATTCTCTCCTGGGCTACAGCAGGAAATGCTTTAGTCACCCGCTCCTCTGCTGGTACGTGCTCTGCCCTAGTCCCAATGTCTTCTAAGGAAAAGCTCTGTGTCTTTCAACTATGGCTCTTCCCAGCCGGGCAGCCTCTGCAAGAACCAAACCAAGGGGACAAACGGCACAGCTCAGTTTTTTGGGAGGAGGCTCCTCCCCTCAAGGTGTTTATTATCAAGGTTTTCTTCCTAGAAATATCCTATTAGCTCAAATGGAAGTGGTGGGATTGAGAGACATGTTCTTATAGAAATGTGACTGATCACAAACGGTGCCTTTCAGCCTTTAAAATCCGTGAGATTGTACGCAACAGCAATGCCCGCCCTCAACCACGCTACCTCCAGCCGTGCCTTCGGTACCCAGTGAGTGACCGCAGCCAAGTATGCCCAAAACCATCTTTGCATTTTCCTGCTGGCATCCCCCGTTTTGCCATCAAACCCCTTCAAAATGAGCCTCACACACACCTGCTCGAAGTGCTGTCTTTTATTTCGGAAGAGGAGCTGCTGGCGCACGGTTGGCAGGACAGACCTAAAGCCGATGGGGAGGGGGGATGCGGCAGAAGAACGGCTGTGCCCGGGTGCTGCTCCCTGCTGCGGCTCAGCGGCTCAGCAGACAAGGGTAGCACTCGTGTGCCGTTTCGATCTCCACGACACTATTGGGTCCCAGCGAGTAGGTCACCTCGTCCTCGCTCACCCCCGGCGGCAGGCTGATTTCCCTTGTGATGTTTCTGTAGTTATACTCCTTCCCTCTTGCGGTGGTGTGCTCCTCCTCGTGCTCCGCTGACACCTTCACCTTCCCATCTTTCACCGTTACAGTGACTTCCTCGGGGTCAAAACCCTTCACGTCCATCAAAGCCAAAAGCTTATGATCACGGGAAGAGTTCAACATCCTGTTAAGTCTTCTTTGCATGCTGGGATAAAAACAAGAGGACAGACTTTCAGTCCAACTCACAGAGGAATGGGTGGACAACCTTAAGGACAAGAGAAGTAAATAGGAAACGATCGGATCCATCTTCATGCACAGCAACTGCGGTGGTGTCTGCACCATCAGAAGGAGCTCCCACCTGCATGCCACTGCAGTCAGGAGTATTTCAGTGTCCCCTCTTGGGATGGGGCAACTGTGGAGCTGAAAAGTTCTTTCACCTAAATACAGAGAAGCCAGTGCTCCTCCTTCACATGTACATACACCCACGAAGCCATGTGTGTCCATCTTATGCCTTGCCCTACATTTTGAATGGATAGTTACAATAGATCACATTTTCCAGTTAGGAGTTTTGTTTAAAGCAATCAGTGGATAGGAGACACATCTGGCAAAAAAATCCAAAATGCTCCTGCAGAGCTGGGCTGGAGGCTCACTGAGCCATTAAAATGATTTCTAATACTGTCAAACAGCGACTCTGCTCAACCAGAAGGCTGGCTCTTATTCAAACCAATTGTAAAGTAGGCAATGGAAGGGTCACCTCAGTTATAATAGCTAAATTGGACACAAGGCACCAAATTAAAAAGATAACGGGTGTGATGGAAGAGGAAATAGGGCAAGCAGTGGGGGAACGGGCATGACCACTACGGTGAGAAATCCCTAACGAGTGGTTCGTTACAAGGTATACCCATTTCAGCAATTCTACTTAAAGCCTGCAATGATTCAACCTGGTGTGCTGATTTTGGGATATGTTTTCTGTGCTCTGTGAGAGCTGTCTCTTTCACCTGCCTCTTTGGTCTTTTTGTATTGCTGGTCGGAGAGAATAAATGTGCTAAGAAGAGTCGGTCCTTCACAGCATTTTTTGTGGGAAGGGGATGGCTGAATTCCCCAGTGCGATGGGCTGAAATCCTGCTGTGGTGTGGTTTCAGGTGGCAGTGGTATGGACTCATGTTCAAACCAGCAAGTTGTCCCGAGTGTGGCAGGGCCGGGGAGCCTGGCACTCAGGGAGAGCATGCCTTGGCATCCCATGGCCCATCCTGAGACCCCCCAGCTTCCAGTCAGACTGAATTTCCATTCCTTCACTGGGATTTTGGTGTGCAATGATTCTGCAAGGGGATGCTGCACCTGCCCAGCTCTGGTACCCAAAGCACTGATGAAAATCTGGACACCGACACCAGTCCTGTAACACCTGGGATCTGAAATCTGCTACTCGACAGCCCTGCGTGAGCTGCAGCTACCGGGCAAGTTTACAGTAACCTCACAGCAACTTTTGGTTTTGCTGAAGTCAGTGTAAAATTAACCCAGGGTCAGGCTTTTTTCCTTTTTCCTCGAACTTTATTGCACCCAGTAGGTAACGCACATGGCAGACTGTGGGATGATGTTGCTCGATGGGTAACAAAAATGTCACATTTTTAATTGCCAAGATGAAGGTCTCATCCTCTCCAGGTGCAACACAAGAGAACTAACTCAAACAGAAGCTTGAGTTTGGGGAGAAAATACCAATGCCACAAATGCAGCAAGAGACTTCCACCACTGCTGATGACCAAGGGACTTCTTAGCTCTTCTGGTCTCTCAATTTGTGGTTGTGCCTTAACCCAAATGGTAAAGTTTTATCATTCAACAACTCCCTTCCTGTAGGGCTACCTTTGGGTTTTATCTCTACTAGAGTCAATCTTGAACTCCATTAACAAAATAAAATCATAACACCAATGGTCAAAATGGAGATGTAGAAATCCCGAGATTTATTCCTCCTACTGTACGAGGTGGGAAAATACGGACACGCGTCTGTGGTGCGTCAGTGCTGCACCCCCGCACATACAGGCACGTTTTGGCTATTGATGAAGATAATTATGTGTTTAACAGACTTAAACTGAATTTATATCAAAGATGGACTTTGTTCCACAGCCGAACAGCTTGGATCTTGTTGTGTACTTTACTTTAGATGCAGTTTGCGAGATGGTTAATGTCCCAATGCCATGGTCCAAACGCCTTCTGGCGCAGGCGCTGCCTACATGGCTCCTCTCGGGCTGCTGGGCTGAACAAGCTGTGCCTCCCCGTTCCCCTTTCAACTAATTTCTCCAAAAATGGCTATTTCTTTCCCGTCCTGCTTATCTGTTTCCACCTTCGCTCCTGATACCGATGCCAAACCTCCCTTCATCCTGCCTTAAAGGATGCCGATGCCCATAGAAAGCAGGCAAATATCTGTTACCTGCCCAGTTTTCGCTCCACGTCCAGCCTTGCGGCGAGGGCCCTTCTCTCCCAGGGGCAGAGGTCGGGCTGGCGCAGGCAGCAGGGGCACAGGGCCAGGCTGCATGGGCAGGACGCAGGCAGCTCCTCGCGGAGGTGCCGCAGGTGCAGGTCCAGCAGCCTCATGTGCCTCTGCACCTCTCTCTCCACCTGCCTCAAATCCCGCTCAGCGTCTTCCAAAAGGCGATTGTGCAACGACATCGTCACACTGCAAAGTGCATCAGGGCATGAGCGCGGCCGTGGCAGCCTGCACTCACGGAAGGGGAAAAATTGCCTCGAGAGTTTTGTCTGGAGGTGAGCGTGTGAGCGGAGCCGCAGGTACTCTTGCAGCCTTCCAGCGGGTACCTTATGACTTCATGGGCCCGCTGACACGTCACAGCTCCACAGTCGCCATGGGAAGCACAGCCTGGGTCCATGCACAACAGCCCCCGCCACTGCAGCTCCCACCCACCCGTGGACCAGGGGAGCCCATGGGAGGGGGACACGTTGGGAGGCCTGGGGCATGGCGGGGGTATGTGCGGAATGGCCGGGCAGCAGAGCCGCGGGCCATCAGGAGCGTGACTTGGGTGCGGCTTCACGCACAACATTGTTTCAGCACGGCTGCCCACGCTATCCCCCTCTCCTGCCCTGGCACACCAGCGCAGAGGGAACGCAAGCCGCCCCTCTCCACTCCCAGGCAGAAATCCCCACGGACAAAGCCCAGGTCTCCACTCAACCTTTTAAGTGTGGTCTCCTCTTGAAACTTGTGGGGATTCCTATTCCCAGGTCCTCACCACCACTGCCTTGGGAGAAGGGAAACGTGCACGTGCACCCAGCAGCGGGCTGCTGCCAACCTGCTGCAAAACTGCAGCCCCCTGCAGCCTTCCCCTCCTCGCTGTTTTGCTGCTGTTTACCACAGCCTGAAAGAAAATGTGTAAATTAAGGAGAGCTGCAATTGCTTTTTATGGTTTTTTCCTCCTTTTGCAAGTGCTTTGCACAAGGCGTTGGATGTGTGATGCCTACATATATTTTTCGCTGACAGCCAGCATGGCGTTAGGTGAAGGCTACCAGAAGCCTTGGTCTGAACACCAGACTCAGGCTGGTCTGTGGGGTGCTGGCACCCCGGGAGCACCACCGGCCCCCCAGCGAGTGCCAGGGAAAGGTGAAGTGCTCACGGCAACTCCTGCACAGCTTGTCCCTGGCAGAGCACCCCGCCTTCCCGTCCTGCCGGCTCTCTTCTCCTGGGGTTTTCTCCAGTAGCTACAAGTTTCAGATGTGACTTCGAACCCGCTGCTCCCATCAGGAACTTCTTCCCTCTGCCTGCTAGCTCTCTGCCCTTTTTTTTTAATGGGAAAGACAAGGCAAATGGTTAAAAATGTGCAGAAATGGGAGGTTCTCTTTACCTCCCTTACTGACAGCTGCAGTTAAGGTACTTCTGGGAACACTTTGAGAACATGCACCTTCAAAAATATTTATATTGTGCTCTTGCACCATATTAAGCAAACAAGGCGCTAGGAAAAGCAGACCCAGGTATTTGCTTCCCCCTCTTACAGATGTTACTCTGCAGTTTTTACCTGCCCATGCATCAGAATGAGGTGCTGCCTTGGCAAGGGTGGGTGACATGAGGCTTTCGGTTGATGGAAGACAGCAAAAAGGACGCTGCATCCCACAATTATTTTACAGAGAAGGAGAGAGGGCACATGCGCCACGCGCACTCAGGGCACTGCTGCAAGCACTTATCTGAGCTGACAGTTTTACCTTTGCAGATCCTGTGTGTGCTGGGATCTGCTGCCTGCTCGCTCAGTGAGCTTGGGCAGGGGTGCCGCAGTCATCAGCTCCTGCCTTGAGGACTTCTGAAGCCATCGTGTCCTGTCAAGCTGTTCCATCAGTTTTTCTTGACAATGACCCGCATGGGTTTCAGTGTCAGCGATGCTCGTGGCACGGATGGATTTGCCTGGCTCCCTGAAAGGCGCCTGTGATGTACTTTAATCGCAAACAGCATTGACACCAAAACCTCCTGGGTGTAATACTGCTAGAAAAAACAAGAGAAGACTACCGGAGTGGGGAGTCCTTTGTGTTTTGGGGAAATCTGGTCTTTAAGGGCTTGCAGTGGATCAAGTATCAGTGGGAATGCATAGTCCCTGTGTATTTATGAGAGCAGGAGAAGACCCCTCGGGAGGCTGTTAGCTGCTGATACCTGCTCGTACCTTCCCATGGAGGAAGCGCCTTCAATTATTAGCTGTATCCAAAAGCCCAGGTAGCTCCAGACAAGAAAATATCCCCTGCAGCCTCCAAGGAGGCAAAGCCGCACTGGCCCCGGGGCTGCTCCCGCGGGGCTGCCTGCGACCGCTGGGAGGGAGCTGGGCCTGCCGGCGGCCGAGAGGGGAGTGCAAAAGAAGGACCGCAGGAACCACAGAGGGGAGCAGGTCACATCTCAGGTTGGACAAAAATACGTGAGGCTTCCTGTTGGACATCGCTCACATTCAAACATTGGTGTATCATATGCAAGAATAAATTAAAACATTCAAATAACTTCATATACCTAATTACATTTGCATATACCAGCAATGAAAAACCTTTGTTAAAAGCCAAATGCTTAATACATACTTACAAAGCAAAACTTCTTAACCCCCAATTCCCAGCAATGATACTCGCCATCAGCTTCCATCCCATCATCTCTGATAAGTGCTGTAGCCCAAGACAGGAACCATATTCTCTCAGACTGGCCTGCTGACACAAAAGCTAATCCCAGCCTCAACAGCACCTCGTCTCTCACGCATCTGCAAACTGGTGAGCTGGATGATGTGTTCTTTTCCCAAAGTGAAATATGAGTTTGGCTTTTCAATAAATCAAAACAGCCAGCTTATTTTATATTGAATGGTAGTTTCATCCAGAAAAAAAAAAATTGCTTTATGCTTTATTACTCATAAAAGGCATCACTTTTTCGGTCTGAAGACAAATCTTTTATTTAAAAGCTGAATTCAAAGGCTGCCAACGTGTGAAGGGTCCCTCCTGTATGAAGTCTGTATACCTTTCTGATGGCAGTATTTTGTCTTTAAAACTCTGACATTCTCTAGTCTTTTTGGCTCCACATGAAAGAGTCTTTCAGGATGTCTCTCTTGCATGGTGAGAGTCTGAATCCTTTATTTCACAGAGGAAGTTTTGTTCACCAATTCCTGTCTGAATAGATGAGATCTGGAGCAGACCACTTGAACCGAGCATCGAGCTAAACCTTCCTGGCAGAGTCCTGGGGGTACGGACTGCAGGAGCCGTTACGAAGCAAAGATGCCGAACACACGGGTGTGTGTCAAAATAAAATTTCTGCAGGAAAAGCAACAACTTGAAAGCGATTTGAAGTTAAACCTCCCTGGCGCATGAAATCAGGGGGTTTGAGGATTCACCACGCGCCCCGCAGGAGAGCGGGGAGGCTCTGCAGGCAGGGGTGCCCGTGGGGTGCTGCCTCCTTTGGGATGCATTTTTATGCCAGGGGGTGTGAGCTTTTCCTCACAGGCAGGCTCACCCAGGGAGTTTGTTCCCAGACCTGGAGAGCATCAGCACAGCCCGCGACCTTCAGCACCATGCAGAGGGACCTGCATGCAAAATAAACTCGGAGGGCATCACCGCACATCCTGCGTAGGATAAGTAGGTGTCTGTGGACACACATCAGCCAAGCAGAGATTTGCTGAGCTGCTGCTCTCCTCCTCTGCCCCCTTTCCCATCCCACCACCGCAGCCTGCAGTGCGGCGTGCAGCACTGCTCCTGGCGTGCAGTGGCCCTGCTTCGGGAACAGCTTTTCCTTGTCTTACCGTGTCCCAAAACCTCCCGGGAAATCCTGCAGTAGGATGAAACGCTGTATCAGCGAGTGCCCTTTCTGGAATCAATTAACCCAGGGGTAGCAACACTGGTTTACAAAGACTTCCCAAAACACCTGTGTGCAGAGCTGCTCATCCCCGGGGGCACTGTCACACCAACTGCATATCTTCACTTATATTTTCAATCAGCGTTTAAAAATCATAAAAACCTGACTGCACGCAGGACATTTTTTTAATGCTCTGAAAACTGGGCTGTAGTTTTTAAACCAAAAGGAAATAACACAGCTCTGAAAGTCATTTGTAGCCTTGTTTCCCTTTACTGCAGCAGCTAAGCAAGAATTGTATGCTGGCAGTGTGCTTTTTTCATGCCTCTATTGCTGTTTTTAGTTAAAACACCCCCACTTTAAATCTTTGGTCTTCCCCGTGCAAATCATTCACTTTGCACTTATAAGAGATGGATGGGTGGCTAGACCAGACAACTTAATAGTTATTTTTCATCTTACGTTTTATGATCTTTCTAGAAAGATCTACATGATGATCTTATGTTTTATGATCTTTCTAGAAAGATCTACATGATGATAATCCTTACTGTGACTTCCTAGGGGTTGAGCAGAACTGTGCACCTGCTTTGGCTGTGACAAGTGACTCTCTTGATCGTATGTACTTAAAAACAGTTTTGGAAGGCGGCTGCTGCCTCTTTCTAGCATTTAGCACTGTTTGCAGATTACAGCAGCTGAGTATTACAAATTTAGTTTCAGCATTCTCAGTTGTACGTGATCATTTCCAATATTGTCCCCATAGAGTTTATTGTCTGTGGATGTCATTTTTAGGAAAGGAACCTCAAAAGCATTCAGAGGAGAAAGACTGATCTGGCTCTCTTGGCAAACGATGGCAGCGGATGGGTTGCCTGGTATCTCTTTCCAGGCTTTCACTCCCTTTGGGTGCTGGCGTTATAGACAAACCCATGGTCTTAATGGTTCAAAGGAGTCAGATCCCACCTCAGCCTGGTACATAAAAACCAGCAAATGTTAGCAATAAAAATCCCTGAATTACTGATGTCACCTGCTCCCAGTACAGTGAGAGAAACGGGGGACAGGTTGGGAAGCGAGTGACCTGCCCAGGTGGGTAAACCATAAAGATAAGGTTTGTCACCAACCACCCTGTTGGGGGGGAATGTGTGACTCAATACTGATACCACAACAGCAGCAGATTGGATGGAGCAAGTTTCTTCGTTACAGATGCCATGCCAACGGTCTGGAACCCTGTGATGAATGGAGATGTTAGCGAGTCCTTCTGAGCCCAGGCTTGACATATCTCAACAGGCTGGAGAGAGGTACATAGATGACCCATAAACTGACATCATTTTTTGGCTAAACACTCCAAACCATTCAGAATGTGAGTCTTGCCTCC